TTTGCTCCTTTGGAAATCAAAATAAATGGTTGTAAACCAAGCATATCTTGGGAACTAACATGCTTAGCATCATCACTGGAATGTTGTGCATGGATTTCTGCAATGGGTGTGTTTAACTTAACTAAGTGTTCATAATTGTATTTTGCTACTTCATCATTGCTATAAAACAACCTTATTGCACTTAAGAAATCATTAATGTTAGACACAACACTTGGCTGGCAAGTGAGAAATAATTTCCAGTCATTTAAACTTATTTTTCCTGTTCGAAGTCTTGATAAAATGCCTTGATAAAATACCACCATGATTAACATCAAGTACCACTACATTGTCAAACATTCTATATGCAAGAGAGCCCTGTTCAGCTATTGGATTAGATGGCTTGTCATGGTACAAAGGCTTATCTCCAACTGAAGGTAACTGTGCAGGATCACAAATCAGAATAATCTTTCAAGCCAGTGGCTTGTCTACAACATCTGTCAATCCACCCTATGGTTGTTTGACCCAGCATGGAATATTCATCAATTATGATGTACTCAATGGACAATAAATTGTTGTCTTGCAGTCTATGTTTTCTTAGACATTCTGCTAACTGGGAGTTTTAAAAATGAGTGGATAGTTATGCCATTTATATTAAAAGCAGCTTTTCCAGTTGTCGCTATTATGATACAACTATCCTTTAAATAATTTCGAATTGCATTTATCAAATAGCTTTTTCCAGTTCCACCTTCACCAATTATAAGAAGTAAAAGTTGTTCTTTGTGCAATTGGTCTGCCTTGGTGGTTAACAATAAGGTCATATGCTAGTTGTTGGTTTTCACTAAATGTCTCTGTGTCAATTTGATAGTATCTTGCTGCAACAGTATAATCAGACCTTTGGTTAGAAATCCATTTATTCATAGAAGATATTTGTTCAGCAGTGTACTTTGTCGAATCTAGTTGCCAATTATATGAATTTTCAGGGTGCTTATGCATGCCTTGAAGTTCATGGTAATTAGACAAAATCATCCATTCCTCTCGGGGAGGATTTTCATGATCATATTTATCATTGTGGTTAGCATTATCATCTTGCACAACATTATTTAACACATTTTGCTAGTGTGTTTACCAATTTGGTACAATAACGACTTGCATTAGGAGAATTTAAAAATTCAAGCCAACAATTAACAAAGGCAGTATCTGATGGCATTTCATAATTCCATGAATCATTTTGAGAGTTTTTCCAAGGTTTATACTTCAAAAGCTGATATTTACAATATAGGGGATAATTCACCCCTTTTGGATTGAAAGAATAACAAGGGAAGAAGCGCAGAATGACTTTTGATGATTGTTTGACAAGTCTACTGTTGGCAATTTTGTAGTCTGTGAATACTGAGCTAAATTAAGTTTCATCACAAATGGAAAATCATTCTTAAAAGATTCACGCTTCGAATATTTATCCAATATGGAGTCATTGGTGCAGCTACTATTTGGGTATTAAAAATGCTAGATGTGCGACCAGGATTCAATTACTTCTCAGGGGGTCAAGCAACAAGAGAAAGATCACGGCAAGCAACAAGAGAAAGATCGTGTTTTTGACGTGCTGAGAAGCAATGGGTATCCTAAAATATTTCTGGACGAAGTTGAGAAGAGACGTGCAAGGAAAACAGAATTCGTGCCATCACCCGAAGAACTTGTACGTATGTTTTTTGAAAATGTCAAACCAGAGAACAATCCCAGCTACACAGTCCTCCCCTAAATTAACAGCTCAACAGAACCCCTGAAAAGACTACTCAAACGATACAGCATCAGTACCACTCCGAACATTAGAACAAGGTTTTCCGTCACCAAAGGACAGACCACTTCCCGAAAAACAGATCAATGTTGTGTACAAGATTAATTGCGCAGACTGCTCCTGGAGCTACATATGTGACACGACTGGCAGAGCTCTCGGAACAAGGAAAAAGAAAAGAAAACAAATGAAACATGAAACAATGTAAATCCGGCTCAAACATAGCAAAACATGTTTGGACTGAGGACCATAAAATCGACTTTGATGAGTGCGAAATCTTAGACAAGGAAACCTATCGACACAGAGCAACACTGGAGTCCTGGCATACAGCAACCACAGTCAATTCTGACAACAATGCGCAACATTTACCAGAACAATATACGTTTTTATTAAAAAAGAACAGATCATATTTATATTTATCAGTATACTCGTTTCACTAGAGTTTACATAGGCAGAACTACTCA